TGCAAAAATTGCTAATATTATCAAACTGTTCTTTTAACAAATTTCTGTTTGTTTGAATTTCCGCTACTAATTAAATAGAAGCCTGCAAAACGTTTAACAGGGTAAAAATAATCAAAAAAGCAATGGACATTAGTCAGGCAATTTTTACATGCAAAGGCTAGTACTCCAGACATAAATTATGTCTCGAGTGACATGAAAGTACAAATTTGCATGCAAAAGTTTTTCAGAACTGGCAGATACTTCAAGTTCACTTCACGTCAAGTCAAAATTCTGGCATCAAAAATTATGGGTTACAAAAACTTAGTCGGAAAGCAGCAGCAGCGGCTCCAACAAAAAACAAAATTTACCTTAGACATTACGTTTTTTGCAAAACTAGCGTTTTGGACAAACAGCGAATGACAAACAAAATTTTTGCTTGAAGCAAAACATCACAGATAAAAGAAAAGTAAATAATCCCATTGCATATCAAACTTTTTAATCCAATTTAAATTGACAGACTTTTATCAAAATTCGTAACACATTGATAAAACAGTTATCCAAAATTTATAATTTTTTTAAAGCATAATTTATTCTATTGCCTCTCGTGAAAAATTGATTTGCATACAAAAATTCAAAAAAAATTGATCGTAGTCAGTAAACAAATTTCAGACACGGTAGTACAATTAAGTCTATTTTCCCATAATTGTTCTATTAAACTAAGCTTTCTGGCTACATCTAATTTGCTTGTCGTCTAATTTCGTAGGGCCCAGAGTTTATTTATTGCTAATGCTTAATTGTTAGAACATCTTTTCAGTTCAACAAAATCTGAACGGATTTTACTATTCTTAAACTGCTGATTTGGATGTTGGAAATCAATTTTTCACTCATTTCATCAAGTTAAAGTGGGTTCAAAAAGTAATTAAACTAAATAAACCGTTTTTCGGTCGGTTAGAACTGCATCTAGCTCATCCATTTTACCAAAAATTTGGTAAGAACTAAAAAACAACAATCTGCTTTTATTGGACAAATTTAACATGGAAGTAAAATTTTCATCTGACCTTGAGACTTTTCTTAGCTAAAAATCAGTTATTCTGCTAATTATTTTTGAAAAATCATCGTTTTTTTTTTAAATTATCTAGTCTATTGGAGTTTTCTGAAATTCTCTGTAAATTCAATCCTGTCGGTGAACAATATAAAAGAAAATTTTTCACCTATAATTAATAAACACAAGCATGGAAGTATCATAGATGAAACGAAAATATTCTTAGATAAAAACTTTTATCAGTTCTCAATATTGATGCAAAAAGAAAATTTTTAAGAAGCAACTGTTAGCTTTTTATAGAAGCACATTTGTAGAACCACCCGGGCTGACTAAAAATGCTAGTCATGCCCCTATTCTTCAAGCAATTAAAAAATAGCATGAAAATCTTATGATTAGCACTCTTCCATAGATAAGACTTGTATAACTAGTCTTTTTTTTATAATAAAAATGTATGATCAAACATGGTAACTGTATGACTAGATTTAATCATAAATGAGAATTTTATTTTAAAGTTTTACCATAAATGAGAATTTTATGACAAAAACTTTCATTTTACAATGAAGGCTAGCATTTTTAAAACCTGTAAAACTAAAGGAAGCAAAAATCTGCTTACAAAACAAATGTCAAAGTTCGGCCAAAATCCATAGTCGCGCGGAGTTTATAATCGAACTGAATGTCAAACAGTGTCGAACTGAATTATTAGATATGAATGTTTTATCGGACTTTTTGCTTGCAAACTGTTATAAACAGATGCGCATTGCACAGGTACTCAAGATTATAATGTGTTTTTAATTCGCAGTTAGCTAGACCAAACTATTTGCTGATATTTTAAAATCAAGTCGGATGCGGTTTTCTTTTTTTGTACTGTTGCGGTATCCATTTTGGTTAACCAGCCGTAAAACTTATCTAAGAAGGCCACACAGGTAACAAATATACATTAAACTTGAGCAAAGAGGGCTGAGAAATAGCGCACAAAAGCGGGAACTTTTCGGCTTTACTGAAAAAATTGCCAGCGAAGCAGAAAATTTTGGCAAAACAGAATCATATTAGTGTTTTAGGAGAGCTCAAAAAATCAGTTTGGTCGACCTAAAGAAAAGGTAGACATAATTATCGAAAGTTTTACAAAACACCGCTTTCACACTCGAGAAATCCTTAGGTCTGCTCCTGGTCAAAGTGACCAATTTTTTCCAAAAATGCGACTCATACGGCGCATAGCTTTTTGCGAATTAAGTATCTTATATTTGTATTTGTACATCTGTGTATCAAAAATATTTATAAAAACCAATTCTTCGTGTTGTTTGTTCAGATGAGCTTTGGCTTCGAGGGCGGGGAGCGCCTGATGATGTTCATGGTGAACCCGGCGAACAAACACCACGTCTACATCAAGTGGAGGGTGAGCGTCTACCCCGAGGTATGAACAAAAATACAATACAGGTTTTGGCAACCAATTGTGACGCTCATTCGAAGCATCCAACGTCATCTTAGGAACTGAAGATATATCAGCTTAACCATGCATTGCAGTTGAGTTCACTTTAAAATGTGACATAAAGATATTTCAATTATCTATTTTTTTTATTATTATTTTTTATTTTATCTTATATTTTTGGCATTTTTTCTACTAATGTGACTCAATAGTACTAAAATGATTTTTAAAAAAATATGTCAGTGTCATCCTTGACAAAATTACTGATAAGCCAACTACTGCATATTATAGCAGGTGCGGATCTAGAGTTTTCTCAAGGGGGAGGTGGATTTTCAAAAAAAATTTCGAATAACTTATCGACTGTTTTAGGTTGACCGAATTGATTGTCCGATCTCTATAAGAGCACTAAGAAGACCCTGCTTTGGTAAAATTTTCTGCGCCGCAGGCAAAATTAAAAAAAAAGAGTTTGTAGGCTTTTTTTGGAACATTTTGACCAAAAAAAATTGCGTTTTTTCGGCGCGCGCAACTCTCTCAAAATAAGTATAAATTGGCGCAAAGGCGCCATCAGAAAATTTTTACGGATCCGTCTCCAAAATTGGTTATCTCAAAATATTACAAAGGGGAAACCCTATAGGTCGGCAGTGGGTCGCATCCCTAAGGGGGAGGAGGCGTAAGTCGCCCCCGCATCCCCTATATCTGCCCCTGTATCATAGCGTGATTACTAAAGTTGTCGAAAAAAAAACTTATCACTTTTTTGCGCCTTTTGCGAGGTTCGAACTCGCAACCTACTGATTGAAAAGCAGGAACCCGTAACTGGTTTTCAGGATATAATAGAGGAGGAGATGGAGGAATATATCAGTGAGGAAGCGAGAGTTCCCAGATACAATGAGCCAATCAGAGTTGAGGAGGAGGGGGTGTGGGCGGTAGTAGCTGACGACCCCTCCCACCCGTCCAACAACATACTACGAACTACAAGCAGCAACTCCCAACCCCCCTCGCCCCCACCCACCGATAACTCTCGCGGGAACAAATCATATTCAACCCCTTTTTACTACAAAAACGGCCCGGAATATAAAAGAAACTACGGAGAAGAGTACATTCAGGAGAGTTCGAACAGAACAGACTTTTATAGAGGCGGGCAGTTCACAAAGTTTAGATACGAGTCAAGATACAAATGACAAATGAATGAGTTACTTACTAGAACATCAGTTGAAACTGAAATCAATACAAGACTGCTCGTATCGGACGAAGTTCTGGATGTTCCAACTGCCAACTATTGTCTATTACATACCTTTTGATTTGAAAATGATGACATTTTCAACAAATAAAAAAAATGATTTTCTCGACCCAGGCGTGGAAGACGACCCTACCCATATTTGCCCGAGACCGTCAAAACATACCGACTTGGGCCGAACAAAGTGTAATAAATTTTTTTCATGTCGAAAAAATCGAAACATGCACAAATTCGGTCGAGTTTTTCGAAACATCTAGTTTGTATCGAACAATGTTGAATTCGTTTTTTTTTCGGTCGTGAAAGTCAAAGAACAAAAGAAATTTGGTCAAGATGGACGAAATACACAAGTTTTAGGTCGAGAAAGTTTAAAAATAGACTGTGCACTTCCACCCTGGTATATTTTAATAACCTCTAGTTAAAAGAACAGAGTAAAAAGAATTAAGGTTTTACTCCTTTTTGTTTTCCCTTTTCCCCTAATGGTTCTAGCGGTGAGGTAATTTGTAACTTAACAAAATTTTCACAACTGAGAGAAAAATTTTGTAGATTTTTTAGAATCAAGGATACGACATTGAAGCATACCTCGTCTTGGCAAAAAAGTTGTCAGATAATTTTCATATCTTCGGCATACAATTTATAAAATTAGAACTATGAAAAAATTGTTAAAACTTCTAAGGAGCTTTTTGACAGCAACTTTTGATTGAATGACTTGCATTTTTTCTTTATTTTTGAAAAACTTTTGTTTGATTAGTTCAATTGCTTATTTGTTTTTTTTTCCTACACATTTTAACTGCACTTTCATAACTTGTATGTTGAAAGGGCGTTGAACAATATGCAGAGCAGCGTTTTTTCGAGATCAAATGAGCGAATAGTTTTTTAATAGAAAACTCAATCAATGCTAGAATTCAGGTATTTAATTTTCTACGTGCCAACAAAAAAAAAACGTTCTTTTTGGCGGTTGTTTTTAAAAATTGTTTTTAAGCTACGAAAGTAAGTATTTGTAAAACTAAGCTTTATTGCATATCTTGAGTTTTGACAAAATTTTTGTTTTGCAAGCACAAAAGAAATATGACTAATAGACAGCTCGTATCAGAGCGAAGCCTTGAGTGTTTCGGCTGTCCTTAAAAGTCTATGAAAAATTCTTTGTTCAGATAATTGATGAAAAACTGAAAGCAAAACATTTGATATTTGTCTGCATTTTTTTCTAGTAACCTCAGCCCATATAAATAATCAATTCCAAAATGATATATTATACGTCTGATAATGTATCAAAGAACAAAACCTATTTCTCCGTGTATTGCACCAAAAAGATAGTTGCTAAGATGCTATCTTTAAACAAAATAAGGAATTTCAAAAGTTACAATACATAAATAAACAGACAATTCATTGCCCTAGAGTAAACTACTGCAAAAATTGCATTTACAAAAAAAAAACATTGCTTTTTAAGATAAGTTAATTAAAAAATCAAAACATGCCTATCTTGAATTTTATTCAAAATATTCTAGAAGAATTTAAAAAGAAGAAATGGTGAATAAATTAAGTAAAATCCACACAAATTATTAATTTTTTGCAGCTTTTGTAGAATCATTCGTCGATACTTTTTTGTCAAAAAGGAGTTTATTGATCTCTTTCCGCCTAAAGAATCAGCAAAACAGTAAGTTTTATCCATTCGAGCAATCCTAATCCAGTGTTTTCCCCTATTATTGCTTGGGGCTGAGTTAATAATTGCAGAAGAATATTTTGTTGGTCGAGGAGTTTTATCTGCTGTATAAGACCCCATATACTTGAACCCGAGCTCTGGAATTCTTTCGATTGTTTGCAAAAGTGAAAAGTTATCCATTTTGCGCTTGTTAGTTGATTCAAAAACAAAGAAATTGATAAGTTGATATTGCAATTTATGATAAAAAATAGGAACGTTGAATAGGGTACTGAATCAACAACGACAGCATTTTTTCAGCATTTTTCAGCATTCGTTGTCTACTTTTCCGGAGAGTTAGGTCCGAACAAAAAGAATAGATTGTACAGAGATGAAAAGTCACAGAAAAATAAAAATATTTTTAAAGGAACCTGAAAACTCAAAAAATTTTTAGCGACTGTTCCAAAATTGTCAATTCGAAAACTTGATAATCTTTCTTGTAAGATTGTCGTTTCCGCTACTTGCTCCAAAGGAAACTGAAAAAGCATTTCTAATCTCAAGATTTCTCCACTAAATTCTGGATAATGCATCTCTCAAGAGTCAGTCAAGAACAAAAATATAGTGATTTCAAAAAATTTCCATATAAAGAGCTGAAAAACCCTCAAGAAACTGCATTGCTTTCGTTGTTGTAACAAAGGGGCGACAAGAAGAAGTTGTAAGAAATAAAATTTTTGCTCTTCCACCCCGAAAATTTTTTAGCTCCCTCAAATGAAATTGTTGAAATTGTCGATAGTTGAAAGGGTTTCCATGAAAAGGTCCTTCAACAGCCAAATTTGTGTTCACTGCAACATCACATCTACTGATTAGAGCATTATTAAAAACATTCTCCTGCATAAATATGTTTTGAAGAAATGGAATGATAGAGGTTCTTGCTATAGTTTCCATGTAACTGTAATGATCAGGTTCCCTTTCCAGATTGTATTTCAAGTATTGATGATTAGGTTCAGCTTCTAAAAAACTTCTAGTAAACAGCGAATAATCAACAATTTTCATACTAACATTTGAATTATCAGACAGCATGTAAAAATTAGGTCCAACTTGATTTCTTTCAAATCGAACTTTGATTTTTGGCAGTAACAGTTTTTCACAGTTAAGCAAATCAATGGCAAGCCTTCCATAGAATGAAAAACTCATCCCTGTTCCTAAAGAATTTGCTCAATCAGTGAATGGACACATACCAAACGCTTCCCGACGTTCTTCAAAACTATATCCGTGACAAGCTAATGTTCGTTTACTACTCAATGCCGACAAGCTGAATTCGTTCAACAATTGTTATCTTTGGAGATTTACTTCAATGGCGTTGGAGGCCCTTGTATTGTTAAAAATAAGATCGCAATTGTAGAATAAAGAATCTAGTAGATTGTCTACAGAAGTTAAATACGTTTTAGGTTCCTCATCTGATTCATCCTTGGATTTTGCTTCAGGTTCTGATTTTTGGTTTTCGAAAGCATCAAACAGTCTTCCTTTGAATAATTGAAGCTTTAAACTGAGTTGGGTACCACGCATATCCGAACTCAAAACTGTTTTTATCTAGAGAAATACTGGGAAATAATTCTTGTGTGTAAGATGACAAAACTCTTTCTAAAACTGAGATTTTATCAAAAATATCCAAAGAAGAGTTTGCATTATTAGCGTACCGAGAATGACTACCTTGAATAATACTCATTTTATTTTGTCACTGAGCGACTGGTTTTCGATCTATTTTTTGAGAAATGGACTTACTAGTTCTACGCTTGGATTTTTTCTACCTCCCAACATTTTTCAAACTGTTTTTGTCCAACATCTTTTACAAATGTTCAGCGTTGGGAAATTAGCTGAGCTTAGAGAAAACATTTTGTATGAAGCATAAATCAGAAAGGGTTATCCGAAATCTTACGAAACAAGAGAAAAACTCGTGTAATTTCTACTGACACCAAATGAATATTTTTGCCTCTAGTATTCTTCAGTTTTACTTTTATGCCATGGAACGAGTTTTTTAAAGATTTTTTAAAACGTAGATTCGCAAAAAATTGCTAATTTATGTAATGTTTTATGATTAATAAGGATTGTTAATTCTACTGTACTGTAGATATTGGGTTTCCATTTTTTTTAAACTTTGGAAATGAAAGGAATACTACGCAGTAAAAGAGTTTTTGTTTTAACTATTATAGTGAATTCTATATTATCACTATAAACCAATAGGGAAGGTATTTGCATAATGTCGTAATAACACTGAGAATAATTTGGACCTTTTCCTTTCATTATTCCTGTCTGATTTTGTTCTAAATCACAACCAAAATTGTTACTCAAATCAGCACTTTGAGTTATAAACACTGGTTGATCCTCAGGAAAAGAATGGCATTTTTGTGTTATCTTATCTACTGATACATGTATTCCATTATATTCAAAATTTTGTGAACCCACACGTTTACGAACGTTGTCATTCTTGGCTACAACTATATCAACAAAACTTGGACACAATCCAGGGTCAGTATGCATCGGTTGAATCTTTCTTTTTTATCAGAAGTTTCTCGCCCATCTACGATAGTAAGTGTTTCTTCAGTAACGTTTTGGTACGATTTTTCTGAAATAGCCACCTCTCATTCTCCTTAAAGATTTATTTGTTCCGGAAGAAGTTTTGTAAAAAAACTGAGACTATTATTTGAATAACAAAAAAAAAATTCAAACTGGCTCAATATAAAATTATACATGAAAACTGATTGATCAAAATTTAGTCTAAAAATCAAATACCTTTAATCTGAATACTTTCTCAGCTCTTTTTAAAAAAAAAATTCCCGCGTTTTTTTTTGAGCTCTTTGATGATCTATTTAGGAGGGTTTTTTGCAGATATTGCGGCAATTATAAATGTTTCATATGCAAACTGTGGCTCGTGTCCTTTTCGGAACGGAATATTGTTTTTCACAATTCTCATCTCAACTCCAATTTGGAATTTTGGTTGAGTGTATTTCATGAACGAATTGTTATACAAAAATGATTAAAAAACTCATTTTTTTCACATCTCTCTGAGATTTTACAATAAATCAAGTTTCACGATAGTTCATTGTTAAATTGAATTGCTGCAATTTGGTAACAATTGTTTCAAAATTACCATCAATATAACAATATAATAAATTTTTCAAGACTGAATTGCTCTCTTTGAAATTGCAGCGTACGTTTTGCTTATTGTTGAGTAATTTTCAATCTCTTACTCCTTGCAAAAATTTTTAAAAGTTCCACAAATTCCATTCTCTTATTACCCAAAAGTTTTTCAGGAGTGTTTGAGAAATCTTTCTTTGCAAGCATGTAAAGTGTCTTTGGCATGCTTTGTTTTTTTTGTTTGAACTCTGACAAATCTCGAAAAAAATTTTGCATCAACTAGTAAACACTTGACTCT